CAGACCATTAATTGGAGTATTTTAAAACAGACCTGACCTCTCTAGGACATTCAGAAGGCAAGTTATAAGCCCACAGCTGTTTTGGTGAGCAGCACGTCTCCGTTTTGGGCGTTTTTTAAGAGTAGCCCGAAATAAAGTGTATAGTGTCTGCCACCAAATCAAAAGTTCAGGTCAGAACGGGTGGGGGATGGGCGATGGACTCGACTTGACCCTTTGGTTCAGAACGGGCTACTTGTCTTCATTTCGGGACACACAGGGGATGGGTGGTGGGGGGGGAGCTGAGGTGGGCCAGTCAGCGGACCAGGGGGAGGTCTCTGGGGCGGCGACCTCAAAACGGGACACTTTGGGGGGGGGGTGGGGGGGGGGGTTCTGCGGCAATGGATTCAGAAGGGGTGGCTTTGGGCGCGATACGGGTCACTTTCACATTTCTTGCACAAGGGCTCCCCTAGTGGAAAAGTCCCAAGGTGAAGAAAAAGTAGCCCGTTCTTAGGCCAAAAGTGCGAAAGTAGCCCGTATTTAAGGAGCCCAATTCAGTTGGGGCCCCTTTTGACGCAAAGTGTGCCAAATTTCGCGCAGAGAATACCCCTAATTGTAGCTATCCCTCAGGAGTGAAACGGAAAGGGTGGGTCTGGTTGGATGACTTGGTTAGGGCAGTGAGAGGAGCAGTGATGGAACTGAAACCGCGAATAAAGCGGCGGTAAAAGTTCGCGAACCCAAGGAAGCTCTGGAGCTGTTTTAGGGAAGTGGGTTGCAGCCATTGGGCGACAGCCTGGACCTTCTGGGGGTCCATTGAAAATCCTCTTGATGACACGACAAATCCCAGGAAGGAGATGGTCTCCTGATGGAAGGCACATTTCTCCAGTTTTCAGTAGAGTCCGTTCTCCAGCAGCAGGGAAAGAACGGCTCGCACGTGTGTGATGTGGTCGTCCAGGGTTCGGGAGTAGATCAGGATGTCGTCAAGGTAAACAAACACCCACCGGTCCAGCATGTCCCTCAGGACATCCGTGATTAGCCGTTGGAAAACCGCAGGGCTGTTACACAAGCCAAAGGGCATGTTGAGGGTCTGACCTCGTGAGGAAATTACTATGCAGTGATTTTCTCCAAAATGACTGTGCTTAAATTGCTCTGATTAGCAAATAACCACATCAGCGCCAAGAAACTTCATTTCCCATGATGCTTTGCACACGGAAGCATTGGGATGATGTCACCGCCTAATACCAGAAACACGTTCTGCGCATGTGCGGGAGGCCGTGGAGCTTTTCCCGCGAACTAAGACCATAAATCTTCAGCAGAGACAAAGAAACCTCGTTTTCTTTTGCCCAGGATACCTGGCGGTAAGGACACGCTTGTCGAACGCTCCGACAACTTGAGCACGCGGAAGCTCTAAGTGCCCAAGTTGAGCCACGAAACCGCTACAAAGCCACTCGAACTCCATCAGGACCTGACTGGGAATGAGCGGAGCTCCATCCAGCTCTCAGAGACGCTGTAAGTTGTCAAACTCAGCACAAAAGAAACTTCGTTCTCTTTGTGTCCAGCCCGTGGAGAAACACTCGTGGGGAGAAACAACGGAGAAACCCATCAAACCGACGGACGACGCCAAACTGCGGAGAAATACGGAGAACCGTCAAATCAAAACAGTGAGGGACGCTTCACTGTTCTGGTGATCAGAAAACTCATTTCTCTCTCTCCTTTTCTTCTCCCGTTTCCTCTATAGTCCAGAATAAGCAATAAAACCGCGCTATTGCTTAAAAAGTAGCTTTGTGTTTTCCTCTTTCGTTCCCAAAACACGTCCGCCGGGTCATTTTGAATAAATAAACTGCTTATTGATCATTGTTTGGTATCTTTAAATGTTTTCTGCTTGGCCACGTGGTTAAACTAAAAGATATTATTCGTGATTAATCCTTTGTGTTGTTTCATGATCCTTTGAAATGTTTTGAGTGAATTTAAGGTTAAGTTACTGATGATTCTAAGTGCCTTGGAAGTTAAAGTGCAAGTTGCCACTCACACTTTAGCCAGACAAAGGGGTCAGCCATCTTGCATACAGACTCCATTTTAGAAACACACACATACATACACACAAAACACCTTGAACATTATTTTGAATATACATCCTTTTATTATATCACATGGTTATTATTCATCTATGCCACTGTTTATTCATTTGACAAATTGTTAATTAAACGTTATAAAATTCAGATTTTCGTCTCCAGTAGCTTTGTTGTGTCGAAGAGAAGTCTCTGCTCCGAGGATTCTACGAACTTCAAGAAAGACTGATAAGAGTTTTGGATTCAATTTTTCCCCGGTTAAAGGGGAATGGTGCCCCGTATATCTAAGAATATCTTAATTAATTAATAAATCAGTAAATATTCCCATATTTACAGAATTTATTGAAGAATCCAAAAGTAAGTTAAAGCTTACGAATTGTTCGCTCCTAATAACCCCAACAGGCATGACCAGGTACTCCCAGTGACCTGTCGGGGTGATGAAGGCGGTTTTCCACTCCTCGCCTTGTTTTATCCTGACCAAGTTGTAGGCGCTGCGCAGGTCCAACTTGGTGAATATGGCGGATTGGGACACTACATCCAGGGCAGTGGACATCAAGGGCAAAGGGTGACGGTCGCGGACCGTGATCTTATTGAGACCCCGATAGTCGATGCAGGGTCGAAGGCCCCCCTCCTTCTTTTTTACGAAGAAGAACCCTGCAGCTCCAGGCGAGGTGGAGGGTCGGATAAACCCCTGTTGGAGAGCCTCCGTTATGTACGCCTCCATGGCCTGGGTCTCAGCCGGGGATAAAGAGTACAGGCGACCCCGGGGTGGAACTGTGCCAGGCTGGAGCTTTATTTCCAGATCATATGGTCGATGAGGAGGCAGGGTGGTGGTAGGTGTCTTTGAGAAGATCCGGGCCAGGTCATGGTAGCAGGAGGGGATCTGAGAGACGTCGACATCTGGGGGTTCAGGTTCAGAGTCAGGTTGAGGAGGAACATGGGAATGACAAGTCGCTCCCCAGGTGAGCACCCGCCCAGTCGACCAGGAGATCTGGGGGTTATGACGTAGGAACCAGGAGTGGCCTAGGATCAGCGGGGACAATAGGGGCTGTGATAATCAGGAACCGGAGGGTCTGGGGAGGTACATCCATACGGAGGTCCACCGTCTCCTGGTGGATGGGATAGGGCTGGAGAGGAGTACCATCCACAGATGTAACGGGAATGCTTCGGTGGAGAGCGGACAGGGGAATGTGTAGGCGGGTCACCAGATCCTTATCAGTGAAACAGTCCGCTGCTCCAGAATCCAAAAGCGCCTCCAGCTCAACGGGCCCCTGGGCGAGATGAAGGGTCACTGGGAGCATGGTGCGGGTCGAGGGGGTTCCGGCCGACCCAAGTAGGATCCCTCTGCTGCTGCCTACTTAGACACGGCGTTTCCCAGCCGGGAAGGACAGGAAAAGCGCCGATGGCCCGGTGCGCCGCAATAGGCGCATAGCCCCTCCTTATAGCCCCTCTTCCTCTCCTCTGGGTTTAGGTGTCCCAGCTGCATGGGCTCATCAGTGAGTGGGCTGGCTGAGCGGGACTGATCTTTGGTTGCCGCAGGCTCAGCAGGTCGGCGCGTAAAGAGGCGTAAATCCATTTGGAGAGCGAGGTCGGCTGCCTCGTCCAGGGTCCCGGGGGTCTCCCGTCCGATCATCCCGTCTCTGATGCGGGAGGATAGCTCCTCCAGGTAGATCACTTTTAGCGCGTCGTCTCCCCACCTCAGCTTGGCCGCCTTGGTCCGGAACCGAGACGTGTACTGCGCTACCGACTGGTTTCCTTGCCGGAGCTGGAGGAGTTGAGTCTCCGTGGATGTCTCGCCATTGGCGGGAACGAAAACCCTCCTGAGTTCGTTCATGAACATATCATAGTCATTGCAGACTTCCGATTTCTTATTGTACATGGCTGCTGCCCACTCCTGAGCTCAGCCGGTGAGGAGGGCGACCAGCATCGCCACCCAGGAGCGGGGTGTGGCATATTGGTGTGGCTGACATTCAAACGTCATGGCTAACGTGGCTAGTAATCCTTCAGGTGAGCCATGCATTCCGTCCCATTTCTGCGGGAGGCTGAATATAGGTTGGTCTCGGTCTCTGGAGGTCTGCTGCTGCACAGCAGCAGAGAGTTGGAGAACCACCGTGGCGATGGAATCCACCTTGGCAGCTAGGCGTTCCACCGTGACTTCCATCCGGTTAACCTGAGCACGCAGGTTATCAAACTCTGCTGGGTTAACAGTTGACTCAGTCATCCTGTAACGGGGTGACTCGAGCTGGGTGAGAGTTTGGATGTGGAGTGGCTTTTAACCCAAGCGCGGAGTGACTGACGCCGGGTTGAATGGACACGCTGTTTAATCTGGGAGCCGGGTGCGCAGCTGTATGGTGACACAGCTGAACACGGCGACTCCTGGTCTGAGGCTGATCTTTAAGAACAGGCAGGATTCTGAGATCTGGCTGGTCTGATCTGGCTGGTCTGATCTGAACAGGCTTCGTGATCTGAGACAAGTCTGGTGTGGACTCTAGGTTAGGTTCGGTTCGAACGATGACTGAGTGAGTCGGTGTTGTGCGGCACTTCCTTATATAGATTTGGCGGGTGACGTGAAACGGAAGCCTGGCGCTGGGGATGTTGGGTAATGGAGTCTGAGCGGCTCTGTGGTGCCTCCCTAAAGGAGGTTGACGGCTGAGAGGGAGGTTGCGTGACACTGATCAATATCTGGAACCAATGGGTCAACCTGTTTGTTAGAACGTACTTTCTGGATGAGATCCAACAATATGGGAACATCATTTCCCAGAATGACTGGATATGGCAGAGTTGGGACAAGGGCTACTGACATAAGATATGTCTGGCCATCAACAGTTAGATATATTTTGGCCGTGGGGAAAACTTTTTCATCCCCATGAACACAGCTTATGCAGGACTTAGTATCTGTCCAAAGTTCAGGAGGAACAATGCTAGAAAGTGTGATAGATTGAAAACAACCTGGGTCCAAAACTGCCTCTTCACGTTGACCATTAATTAGCACTGGTACAGTTAGAACCTCCTCTCTTACAGTAGCTGGTGGTGAGGGTCTGGGTGCAGTACATAGGAGTGAAGGCTTATTAGGTCTGGTAGCAGGACAGGTATATTGAGTATGACCGATCTCATTACACTGATAACAACGAGCCTCTTGAGCCAGATAATGACTTTTTGCTTGGCTTAGGAAAGAACTGTCTAGGGCTGCTATAAGTTTGAGTCTGAGTTTGACCATCCCTCTCACCCCCAGAGGACTTACTGTGACTGCTGAAGTGAAGATCCCAGCTGAAGGCTGGTCTTCTACTCCCAGTTCTGGCCGACAAGAAGAGCTCTGCAAACGATGCCGCCTCCTCAGCTGACTTTGGGGCCCTCTCTTTAATCCAGACCTCCATTTCAGGGTTCACCCTCTGCAGGAACTGCTCCAGTATCAGCATTTCAGACAGCTCCTTCACTGATGAAGTGTCTGGTTTTACCCATCGATTAAAAAGGTCTTTCAGACGCACATAGAGTTCTTTTGGGGTCTCAACAGGCTTGATGTCCAGAGCTCGGAACCGTCGGCAATAAGTGTCAGCTGTAATTTCATATTTTGCCAGGATAACTTCTTTAACTTTGTCATAATCTTCAAAGTCAACCAAATCCATCAGAACATAAGCACTGTGCGTTTTGCCTGTGAGAAGAGGGATGAGTTGTATTGCCCACTCTTCTTTTGGCCAACAACACACCGTGGCAATTCTTTCAAATGTTGTTAGGTAATGCTCGATGTCATCCTCATCATATAGTAACTTGGGCTGTTTATGAAGCAGTGGCGCCCTGGGTGGAGGATCCAAAGGCTGGTTGCGTGTTGGAGCTGGTGGGCCACCATCATGATCATCATTGACATCATCATCATCATCGTCGTCATCTTCTTCCTCCTGCCACTCAGTTTTGTTTTTGAGTTCCCCCTTTAGTTCTCTCACTTGAGCCTGAATTTGCCCAAACTGATGTTGCACGTCTTTCCACCTCTGTTCTTGGTGGGTGGACTCTTTCTCCAAAAGCTGATCGCTAGATGACTGGGGACGGATCAGGGTCTTTACCAGGTTAGAAAGGTCTTCCAACTTATCTGGCTCTCTTGCTGCTGTTGCAGGTGCAGCTGCCCCCAGCTGTTCAGGATTAGGCTCACCATCATCTGGTTCCTCCCAAAGCTGCTCTGTCTTTTTCCCTCTGGTCATCCTCATACCACTCCTGACACCACTTGTCAGTTCGGTCGAGCGGCCATGGAGGCAATCAACCCAGAAGGAGGACCAGGAGTCAAGAAGACATTACCTTTCAGTGATTTCTTTCAATCGCCTTTTGTGCGATTGGATTAAGGACTCTCTCACAAATCGCGGGCAGGCAGTCAAAATTGGTCAGTGTTGTTCACCCACCCTGACACTCAGTATGGCCTCTCTCAACGATGAGAACGAGAGAATGGGCTCCCAGATGCCTCTCTGGGACAGAGCCAGCTGGGCATATCATTGACTCCTGGAAACAGTGGAACCTGATCTGCCTCTCTCAACTGTCTGTAGAGGATTCTGAAGACGTCTGGATATTCATAGTGTTGGCGTCAGGTTTCTTGCTTTTTGGCCAGAGTGGTTACCTGGCGTACCAGAAAATTTATGAGCTGTCGAGAAATATTGGCTCAATCCCGGAGCTCAGGGATAGATTACACTACCCTGTGAATGCACAAACTAATATAATTGTTGAGATGAGTCGTAAGCTTGGAACTTTGGCTGAGATTCAGACTCTGGCACAGAAGGTGCATTCGATCAAGGAGAAAGTTGACGGATCAGCACGGACTGGGATAGATTAATTACGCCATTACTGGATTTAGAGGGGTTGAGGACCAATGGAACTTTAAGACAGAGAGGAAATTATCTCTGTCTGGCACCAAAACAAGTTCTTATCTGAATGCTGCTGTTGCCATGGCAACTCTGTCTCCCTATCCCAGCCTGGGCGGGACTGTGACCGGTGAAGGCCGTTGAATCGTTTCCAGGAGTCACTGTGCTTGCTAAACCCAACTACCTCCCTCCCCTGTCCCAGCTCATTGCGGCTGCACGTACTGATGTGTGGAGAGTCCCCAACCTTACCTCCCCACCTGGACACTTAAAATGTGTAATGCCTGAAGTCTGTTGCATTTCTATCTGAGGTGTTTTTTGCATAGCAAAGCTGCCCTCCCTATGGAGGGTAACTCTGAAGTGCCTTTTTTTTCCTCCACCTGACTCAATCCTTATGTATAAACCCTCTGATCTCTATTAAGGTAGCGCGACTCGGGTTGCGAATGACCACATTCACCAATTCTTGTCATGTGTATATGCCTATGTTTGTATGTCTGATCTCAGAATTGTGTGTACTGAAACTCTAAAATCCCTCTTGGATTAATAAAGTATCTCTGAATTTGAACTGAGTTGAAGTAATGCTTTTATCACCAGTAGAATAGATTACTGTAATGCCCTGCTTTCTGGTCTTTCCAAAAAAAGCATCTCAGGCTTACAACTTTTACAAACCTCTGCAGCACGTGTCCTGATGAAGACCACGAGGCGGGAGCACATTACATCAGTTTTAGAATCGCTGCATTGCCTCCCTGTACATTTCAGGATCGACTTCAAGGTTCTCTTAACGGTTTTTAAGTGTCTTAATGGTCTTTGGCCTTCATATCTTTCGGAACTGCTTTTACCTTAAGAACCCTCATGGCCTCTGCGCTCCTCTAGCAGGTGTCTCCTGGTCATCGCTAAAGTCAGGACACATACCCATGGCAAGGCGTCCTTCCAATTTTATGGCCCTCGTCTCTGGAACAGGCTGCCAGAGGACCTCAGGGTCGTAGAGAATGTTCATGTTTTTAAGAGCAGGCTTAAGACTCACCTTTTTACCATAGCTTTTAATTGATATCTGTTTTTAGCTGCATTGCTTGTTTTTATTTTTATTTTATAATTAATATTTTTGTTTTATTAGACATTTATTTCTTAGTCTTTTACTGTCTTTTAATCACTTTTTAAGTTATTTTACTATCCATATTAGCTCTTATTATTTTTTATGTTACTTATTTGTTCATGCCAGCGTTTTCCTCTGTGGGGCCCTCTGCCTCGGGGCTGGTGGTCAACTGGCCACCTGGGCGTACCTTGGGAGTGCTTAGGTGGTGGGGGTTTTCGCCCTACCTCCTTGGGAGCCCTGGGCTGGTGCCTTTGCTAGTGCCGTCAATGGACTACTATCGAGGCAGATGGCTCACCTGATGGCATGTCATTCATTACCTAACCCATCTGAACTCAGCCTAGTGTTTACTTACAATGTTTTATTCTTATTATTATTTTAAGTTTTGTGTGTGTGCATGTGTGTATTTGCTTTGTGTGTGTGTGTGTGTGTGTGTGTGTGTGTGTGTGTGTGTCTGTGTGCACGCACGTGTGTGTGTGTTTGGCTGCGTGTTCCTTAGGAAATGGGTTGTGGGATTTTTTTTTGGGGGGGGGGCAACTGTCATAATTATTTTTATATTTTTGGGGAAATTATGGGATTATGGGTTATATGGGGTGATTTTAACCTGTAAAGCAATTTGAGCTGTATTTTTTGTATATGAAAAGTGCTATACAAATAAAGTTTGATTGATTGATTGATTGATTGACTGATTGACTGATTGACTGATTGATTGATTGATTGATTGATTGATTGATTGATTGATTGATTGATTGACTGATTGATTGATTGATTGATTGATTGATTGATTGATTGATTGATTGACAGGGCAACTGATGCTGAGTTTCCTGACAACAGGATAAACAGAATAAAAGATGAGGCAGGAACCGTTTCTGTGCTTCACTAATCCTCTCGAGTCTGTTCTGACCATCAACATACATATATGGACAATGGGTTTCCATAGACTCCAATAATAAGTTTTTGTACTAAAATGGGAGGTGGCCACCACCGCCATTTTGACCGTGTCACGGGTTCCGTCAAGCCCAGACAATTCCATAAAAGGGAAGAGAGGTGGAGCTGAGGGTGGGGCTGTAAGGCTGGGATCAACTGACGACACCCGGTCGAACTAGCTACAAGCTAACCCAAAGCTAATGCGGAGGTGGGAGCTAAGCTAACGGAGGTAGCAACCTAGCTACAACCGGAGTTAACTGTGCACAACACCAGAGCTTCTGAGTCAGAGATACGCCAGGCTGACCGCTGGGTAAAGCCGGGTGGAACACAGAGGTCTCAGAGACCTCCACAAGTCGGCAGCCGCACTGCAGACAAGTGCCGCTGCGATCTGAGATGCGCAGAGCTGCCGCTGGGGAGAACCGGGTGGAAAGATTTCCATCCCAGCGCTCCACAAGCCGTCAGCCCGTGCAGCACACAGAAGCCGCGATCAGACAGAGATGTGCCGAGCTGCTGAGGGAACCAGCCGTCAGACCGCGCAACACACAGAAGCCTCAATCAGACAGAGACGCGCCGAGCTGCTGGGAGAACCAGCCATCAGCCCGCGCAGCACACAGAAGCCGCAACCCAGCCGTCAGCCCGCGCAGCACACAGAAGCAGCGATCAGACAGAGATGTGCCGAGCTGTTGGGAGAACCAGCCGTCAGCCCGCGCAGCACACAGTAGCCGCGACCCAGCCGTCAGCTCTCGCAGCACACAGAAGCCGCGATCAGACAGAGATGCACCGAGCAGCTGGGAGAACCAGTCGTCAGCCCGTGCAGCACACAGAAGCCGTGACCCAGCCGTCAGCCGGCGCAGCAAACAGAAGCCGCGATCAAATAGAGATGCACCGGGCTGCGGGGAGGGGAGAACCGGGTGGAAAACATCGGTCTCCCGAGAGCTCCACAAGCCGATTGTCGGAACCCAGCTCCACCATCATGTTATATTTCAACCCATTTTCTAAAGCGCAGCATTATGTTAAATGCACTGGGTTTTACCCTATTACATTTAAATTTCATGGTTAAACAGTACATGTTAAAATCTAAGCTCAGCTCAGCAGTGACCTAAAATACATAATTATACTTTTACTTACCAAAAAAAATGAAGTGGAGACTGCTTGGACATACCATTAGTGCAATTTATGCCACATCAAATAATTTTGTCCAACAATTGCACAAAAAATATCCAAAACAGAATACACAAACACAGAGACTCAAAATCCCGGAACAGTTTCCAAACCAGACCGAGGCTCTACTGAGGCCTTTCCACGGAGCTAGCATTGTGGTCACATGGGTTGGATGCTCAATAATTATACAGAATTTTAGGCATTTAATACACTTAAACAGAAGAGTGAGAAAAAAAATTTGCCCCCCTCAGAGTTGTCATGAGTGTAAACTAGATAATACAAGCAAAAAACATGTCTTGGTACCAGGCTGTAAACATGTTTATATCTGCTGTGAAATTGTTTTTTTTTTTTTTTAACATGGGAGTCAATGAGGATTTGCTCGCTTCTGACACCAGCCCCCAGCGGATGAGGGTGGAACTGCAATTTTTGGTACTTCCGGGTTGAGACCAATTTTAGAGCCGCATTGTGGGGGCTTGGTTCTGACCCAGATGTTGGCACGTGAGCTAAAAAGCCCTGAAACAGTTACACTGCCCCCTGCTGGTAGCGCTACGCTACTACAAAAGAAAACATGCTGCTGCATTGTGAACTTTTAAACGTTTACCGATATTTCAATACTTTAAATAACAAAAATGGGTAAACTAAAATGATCTTTCCATGACACAAATAAAAACATTCATGTGAATGTCACACTCACCCCTACAAAAAATAAAATGACTCCTGACATTTCTAATCATGCACACCCAAAAAAACTACTTTCAAGTCTGATTGGCCCTAAGCCAAAATCTGGCCCAAAACTGCCTCACTATCAATAACCCTGTGGGGCATGCTGCATACATCGTGTAAACCCAAAAGGTGCTGTTTGATATGTCACTGAGATGGGGTGAGATGTTATCCACAGCAAGGAGCAAGGCACATCATATGTCCCCAACATGTTGACGGCCAGGTGAGATCATGGGGAAGCTACCCAAGTGTGTCATACACCAGCATTTGCCTTGGTCTCCTTTCCCTTGATGACCTCATAGGCTCTTAGTAGCTGCTGTTATCTTCTCCAGGTTGAACAGCCAGTGGCTGGTTTTCAACCCCCATCACTTTCTCTGCACAGGTTTCCATGTGCAATTAATCTCCTCTTGTAGGGCTTAAAACTGAGGCAGGCACTTTTTCTCTCTCCCCTTTTTGTTCTCCCCTGTTAGGTGATGAGGCAGCAGATGAGGCAGAAGCTTCCTTTCCCTCTGTCACACCAATAAAACCAGGTGGGTGGTTAATCATGTCACCACATTATTCCTCCCCCAACCATCTGCTAAGCATGGGTTCTAAGATGTCTACAGTCCCTCCCAAG